GACACAGGTTCGTGCCCCGGTCCAGGAAGATACCACATGCCGCGGAGCGGCTAGGCCTGTGAGCCATGGTCGCTGAGCCTGCGCGTCCGGAGCCTGTGCTCTGCAATGGGAGAGGCCACAACAGTGAGAGGCCCGCGTACCGCAAAAAAAAAACCCCCAAAAACAGTGAGATAATACCTCAGTCGGGGTAGGAAAAATCAGACAGCTGGATAATATCAATCATATGGGAATATAGGAACCTCCTGCTCTGTGTGTGGGAGTGTGGCCTGGTGCAGACATTGCGGAGAAAAATATGGCTGTACTTAGTCAAATGAAGGCAGATGTATTTATACCCTATGACCTAGCAAGTCCACTCCTGGCTTCTACATTTATAACTCAGAGAGATTCTCACTAGATCCATAAGAGGACAAGGCTGAGGATGTGCATTGCAGCATTGCTTACTGGAGGGGAGTTGGGTGCAGTCAGATGTCCCTCCCTGGGAGAGTGAAGAGGCCAAAGGTGGGGAATGCCCCCATGGAGCACCCCACAGCAATTAAAACAACTCTGTTCCTGGTTGGATCCAACTCAGGGCAACCTGGCTGGATCTTAAAGCCACAGTGCTGGGTGCAAAGAGGACGAACAGAGCAAGGCCTAGAACACAGTGCTGGTAATTTATAGAAATACACACACACTGTATGGTCAGGCCATTCAAGATGGCTGTTCTCTTGCTCTGTGTACATCCCCTGCCCAACCAGTGCCTGCTTCACCTATACCCTACGCACATGACTGACCTTCCTATGTACTTGCCCCAGGCCCAGCTAGTGATAGCTTATCAAAGGGTGGTGAGGGGCATGCCTCTCTGCTGCTTTCCCTGGTAACTAATGAGCCAACCTGATGTCAGTTCCCCCTATATGTGGCAGTCTCCCGTTCCCTTAGGGAGCGAAGACTGCCACCACGTCCTGTCTGCCGTACATGGTGAGGTGTCGCTCCAGGACCTTGCTTCACACATGTAAGCTCCCCCATCCATTAAACCATCGATGTGTCTATTGCTGACTCTGGGCTCTTTCTTCGGTCTCGAAGCTGGGCAAGCACAGGGCTTGTAGGCCTGTGGGGTACAGCCCAACACACACATACCCCCTGAAACCAACCAAAAAGAGACATTCTGAGAAATTTAGTTATGGATTGAATGCTAAGTTTTTGCTAATTTTGTTGGGTGTGACAATGGCACTGCAGTTGGGTTCAAAAATGATCAGTGCTGGGGGGGACGCATAGCTGAAAGGTATAAGGGTGAAATGGCATGACGTATGAAATTTACTTTCAAGTATTTAGTTCAGCAGAGGGAAAAAAGAGAAAGTGTATTTTAGGCAAAGATTTAAGCAAGATTTTAAGGCAAAATCTTGATAAGTTCTGCGTCTGGGAGATGAGTATATGGTGGTTTGTTGTACTATTGTCTCTACTTTTGTGTATGTATTAAAATTCATAATAAAACTTAATATCAATGATACATATTTTCAAGACTATGTTCACACAAAAAGATACACGTTAAACATGTGAGAGTGACCGCCTATGGAGGGGAAAGAAAATAGGAGGGAATAGAAAATGAGGACAAAGGGGAAGGAAGTACAGAAGGAAGGAAATAACGGTCAACGAAAATCCACTCTGGGAGGATGATTAACTTAACCCTTTGCACCTAAAGTCCAAAAGAAGGAGGAAAGAAATTGATATCCCCTATACCTCTACCACCGTGGCATTTAAATTTTTTCCATCTAAGCCTCTAACCTTCATTCCTGTGCCCACCGTCCTTTTCCACAAGGCTGTCACCATGACTGTCACATCACTGCGTGCTTCCCCTAGGAATAGGAATGTGCTTTTTCTTTTTTAATTAATTAATTTTTAAATTTTTTGGGGGGCTGTGTTGGGTCCCGTTGCTGCGCAAAGTCTTTCTAGTTGCGGCAAGCAGGGGCTACTCTTCACTGTGATGCCCAGGCTTCTCATTGCGGTGGCTTCTCTCGTTGCGGAGCACGGGCTCTAGGTGTGCAGGCTTCAGTAGTTGTGACACGCAGGCTCAGTAGTTGTGGCGCACGGGCTTAGTTGCTCTGCGGCATGTGGGATCTTCCCGGACCAGGGATCAAACCCGTGTCCCCTGCATTGCCAGGCGGATTCTTAACCACTGCGCCACGAGGGAAATCCTAGGAATGCACTTTTGCTTACTCAGTGCCAGCACTGGGCTAGGACCCACTGGTGTGTGATCTCAACTCATCCTCTCAGTAACATTATGAGGTAAGTACCGCGTCCTGACCTCCATTGTACAGATGCAGAAAACTGAGCTCAGGAATGTGGTTCTTAGCTGGAATTTCAAATATCTCGGCCTCAGATGCCCAGGATCACGTGATTGCACCAAGCTGATCCAATCACCTCTTCATCATCATGGTTATTTTTAGGGCCTGCCTAATGGTCCATTATATTGATGTCGGGTAATTCACTGTAATTTACTAACAGCTCTCCTATTGCTGAGTATTTGGACTCCTTCTAGCTTTTTGCTTTCATAGACAGTCCCGCAAAGAATAGTTTCAGGTACAGAGATTTTCAATTCTGTTGAGTTATTCCCTTGCCAGGAGTGGGTTAGGCTTAGGTTACGCTGTGTTCACACGAAAGGGTGTTCCTCATGGCAGTTAATTCACGGTGACGTAGTTTTCCTGAGAGGAAATGTGGACGTGGGGGGCAGGGCATCTGCGAGGAGAGGGGGCAGGAAATGTCGGGAGAGTAAGGTCTCGGGCCAGGCAGGAAGCTGGATCCCGATGGATTTTTTGTGGTCTTCACATTTCCTTAATGCCTTCCCTGCTGACTTAGGGTGTCCCTCTGTCAAGCCCTGGGGACTGGGACAACTCTGTGGGACATGACGCTGCCGTGTGTGGGAGGTGAGTGGCTGAGACTACTATCCTGGGGCCACAGTAGCTCTCTGGCCCTTTGGCGGCCGCCCTGGCCAGCCTGGGAGGGGTCAGCTGGGGATAGGCAGTATGTAAATATAGATCCAGGGAAGGAAGCCAGGCGGCCCAACACTGCACTGACCTCTCTTTGGAAGGTTTGGGTGGTGAGGGGTGATGTCCTGACACCTTCCTCACCAGGGGTGGGTGACACCTGGCCCAGCAGTCCCCAAGAGTTGCTGGAAGTGGCTGGGGGTGGGAGTGGGGGGCAGGGCCTCCAAGGGCATCACAGTGGGGGCTGGTGGAAAGCTGGTCAAGAGATGCTGTTCCTGTGTGACTGATGGCAAATCGCATTTTCTCTCTGACAATTTCTGTTAGCGGTGCTGCCCAGCCTGATGTGTCCAGGCTAAGGGGCTAACTGGTCCTAAGGGATGTGGGGTTCACTGTGCAAGGGGCAGGGGGCGCCCCTCTCCCCACCTCCATGGGTCTTGCTTATTTTGGAGAGGAGGGATGTCGGGGGCATAAACTTGTCTTCCCTTGCTCTCCCACCCCCTCACTGGGTGCTGGCCCTCTCCACCCTAGGGCTCTGGCCTACCAGCCCTGCCTCTCCCCCAACTCTAGTGCCACACCCCTCCCCCAGCCTGGCCCTTCCTGCCCCCTAGGGCCACAGCCCTGCACCAGCTCCACACCATACATTCCTTCTCCACCTGGTCCAGCCCAGACCCCTTGGACCCCCGACCCTGGGAAGGGAATTCCAGCATGGCACTCACTCCACCACAGATGCATTTATTAGTAAAACCTATTCCCAAGCATCAAGGGGAAGGGTGCTAGCAGGGTGAGTGACTTTTTCCACTTGGCAGTGTTCAAGGAGCAGAGGGTAGGAAGGGGCAGGGGCATCCCAGTCAGAATAACAATACCAGCAGCTAACTTTATTGAACTCTTCTGATGGGGTCTGAGGCCAGGCGCTGTGCTAAGCAATCACTTTATAGGCAAATGTCTCCTTTAATCCTTATAACAAACCTACGAAGTAGGTACCATTATCGTCCCCATTTTACAGATGAGGAAACTGAGGCCTAGGACAGTGAAGTGGTGGGAAGCAGCTGTGAGCCTTCAGGAGGTACCTGAGAGCCCTCTCTCAGCCTCCTTTTTTTCTGTCACACCCTGATTCTCAGTTTCAACCATCTCTCACCACTTCCAGTTCTTTCAACTCTTTTTATATTTTTCTTTTGTAAAAAAATAGATTTTGCCCATATTCTGCAGCTCCCACTGTCTCCTACCCCAATTGGTCGAATCTGGGTTCTCCCCAAGATTTGGTTCAAGTGGAGCTGAGGACGGTGTGTCTCTAATTGGGGCTCGCATGCGCGAGTGTGCCTGTGTGTAGCTGAAGTACAATGAAAGCTCTGAGGATACACAAGGTATAAATTACAAACCTCCCTCCCTCCCCCTCCCCATCTCCTCCCTATCTTCCCACCCTCCCCCACCCCCCATCCAAATCAAGAATGGACTGTACACTGCCCCCCACTCCCAACCCCAAGGCAAGGTCTTGTCTCAGTCACCTCTGTGTCCACGGGGGCCCAGGGCCTTAGATAAATGTTTGTGGAATGAATGGATGAGTGAATGAATGAGAGCGTGGGGGAGGGAGCAGCACTTAGGAGCCCTGATTCCCAGCCCTGATTTTGTCCTCACCTGCACCTTGCCCTCACCAGGACACCTTCCTCCGCCCCAGAGAAGAGGGTCCCCAGTGGGAGCAGAGAGGGGGAAGAGAGGGGCCAGCAGGGGCATCTCTAAGCATGGAAAGGTGGGTGACTGAAGTAGATTCTGGCCTCAGAGGTCAAATCCCAGCTGTATGGCTCAGGAGCTATGTGACTTTGGGCAGGCTTGAAGAAGGATGACTACTGTATAATAGTCCTTTCAGATTTTACGAAGCCCTTTTTTCACACTAACTCTGGTCCTCAGAAACCATCCTGTAATGTGGGTGTGATTATCAATAGACCCATTTTACAGATGAGGAAGCAGAGGCTGGAGAGATCCAGGGACTTGCCCAAGGTCACACAGAAAGCAGGAATTTGAATCCCCCACCCACCCACCCAACTCCCATCCTCTTTACTTCCCGTGTCTGTGTCATGAGGAGGTAGGGCTTGAATCTAAGTCTTCCAGGGTGGGACCCCCAGGTGGCAGTGTGGCCACAGGAGGGACTGCACAGCGAATCCCCCTACTGTGGGCCCCACTGGCCTTTTCTATCCAGAAAAGCCAGTCTACCCTTCATACAAGGTTTCCTAGACACCCTTTCCTTCCCCCACCCGTGGCCCCAGGGCCTCGACTGCTGCCCCAGGAGGGACCTGGGAGTCCATAGGGTACCCATGAACTTCTGCTTTTCCTGGGAGAGTGGGGAAGTGGAATGATGGAGGGGGCTCTGGGGCCTGGGCCCTCCCCTCACACAGGCATGGCCACCTCATCGTATTCATCCTGACCGTTCTCCTCATCGAAGTTCGGCTTGGCATTGTCAGCATCCAGCTGCGGAGAGGCAGGAAGGACATAGGGTGAGCGGCTGAGGGCCCAGGTGAGCCCTCCCCCCAGCGCTGAGGCAGCTCTGGGGTCAGGAGAGCCTGTCTCTCTTTGAACCTTGGACAAGTCTTGTCCTGTCCCTGCATCTCCTAGGGTTGGTCTAGATGAGAGGTTTCCTCAGGGTGGGGAGCCTCCAGGAATCTGGTGCCCTGGTAGGGGAGGGCTTCCAGAGGGCAGGCAGGAGACCCCTTCACCGGGGCAGCGCCACAGTGACCTGTGTCACATCGTGGAAGAATTCTACTGGAAGAGCCACTCTCTGGATGGTTTATAAGACCACAGGACTAGCCGCTCAGTGGTGGGGACCACCCAAGTGGAACGCATCTCGTGAGCCTCTCAGTCCTCTCACCAGCCCTGTCATTATTCCTCTCTTTACAGGTGAGGAAACCTGAGGTACAGAGAAACGAGGCCGCTAGCTCCAGGTCACACACTGGGATGTGGCAGTGCCGGGATTTGGACGCAGGCCCCAACCTAGACCTTAATCACGATGCTCTTCTGCCTTCCTTAGTTCCCAGACACACTTCTCACATTTGCTGAGCCCCGCTGATGTCCCCTTGCTGCCCTCTGCTCTGGAGTTGTGCCCTCTGGCCATAGGAAATGGGGGGGAGGGGCGCGGGCTGGGTGGTGGGAGAAGCAACTCACACACTGGAGCTCCAGGTTCTGGAAGATGAGTGGCAGCAGGAAGTGGCGTAGGGGCACCGTGAGGATGAGGATGAATGGCAGGGCCAGCGAGATGGTTTTGATGCTTCTCACCACCCACAGCACTACCAGGCAGATGATCTGAGTGCCCGTGAACAAGTGCATTCGCCAGGTTCTCACCTGCGGGCGGAGGCTGGGGTCATGGCCTGCCCTGCCCAGGCACCCAGCTCCCCACCCACCCCCGCCCCTGACCTGGGCAGCCGGGAGGGCCCCGTACCCGCTTGGCGTAGGGCACATCTGGGTGGTACTTGCGCGGCTTGAACAGAAGCAAGATGCGGTCAAAAAGCTGGATGCCACTGAGGGATGTGACCCCCATGTAGAGGAAGATGCCAAACAGCACAGCCAAGGGGATGTGGGACAGGATGGGCCCCATGAGGATGGACAGGCCTGTGGGGAGATCCACGCAGTCTTAGCCCCAGCTGCCCCAGAGGATCGGCACAAGCAGAGGCTGGGGAATGATGTCACAGGGACTATATGGAACCCTTTTTGTGGATCCTCTTTTTTTTTTTTCTGGCCGCGCCAAGAACCTTCTGGGATCTTATTTCCCCAACCAGGGATGGAGCCCGGGCCCACAGCATTGCAAGCACCAAGTCTTAACCACTGGACCACCAGGGAATTCCCTGGATCCTCTTAATAGATATTACCCCCACTTTGCAGATGAGGAAGTAGACTCAGAGAGGTGAAGCAACTAACCTAAGGCCACACAGCTAGTAAGTGGCAGAGCAGGGAGTCAGACTCTTGCCTGCCTGACTTCAAAGCCTACTCCTTTAACCTAGGGAGTCACAGAGGGCAGAGAAGCCCACCTTTCCTCTTACCCCGGTCCAGAATGCCTCCATCACCCTCCACCTACCCAAATCCCAGACCTCCTCCAGCTAGCATCAGCTTCGCCTCCTTTAGGAAACTTCCCTGGCCTCTGCATCCCGTGGCGCTGCCCACACCAAGCCCAACTGGACTCTCAGCTGCTCTGGAACTCAGATCAGTGACCCTCTGTCTTCACCTCACACCCCCACCTAGGAGCACTGCCCTTTGTATGAGTCACAGAGCAGCTGAGCTAGAGAGAGCTCAGGCATCTAATGAACCCTCTAATGGTGCAGAGAGGGAAACTTGAGGTCCAGAGACAAGGTGGGATACCTAGTCAGCAGCGGGGCAGGGCTGGAACCCACGGTTCACTGCACTGTTGGAGAAGCTCAGAGTACAGGGTCTTGTCTAGAGAAGCTTCCAGTAATGGAGCGCCCCCCCATCCCCCTCAGATCCCATTTCAGTGCCTTGGGTATTTCCTCCAGAATTCCGTCATGTGAATAACTGACACTGGGGAGATGTGGGCAGTGGGTGTCTGGGGAGACCTGGCTGCAGGGTGGGCAGGGCTGGAGGGGCACTGGATCCTAAGGGGCAGGGGCTGAGGGTGCTGGAAAGTGTGGCCAATCCTCACTCACCCACGAGCACAGAGACCAGGAGCCCGCTGATCCGCTGTTCCTTGACTTCCTGAATCTGGGCTGCAGTCCCCGGGGTGCTGGCCTTGCCCGTGACCGTAAGGGCATTGGCGTGGGTGACAGAGCGCACAGTGGTGGCACTGAGCCAGGGCATCCCAAAGAGGGTGGCCACCCCGCCCATTCCCATGACCAGCAGCAGGTCCAGGTGGAAGCCAGAGCCCTTGGCCACCTTGCGCTCCGGTTTGCTGATGATCAGACTGCGGGTGTGGAAGGTCAGGAGTAAGCAGGGCTCTCCTTCTCCCCAACCCCCTTTACCCTCTCTTCCCTCCCCTAGGCTTGGGTCCCTCTGTACTTTCGTTTATCCTTCTTTGCCCGTCTCCCTTAGACTTCCCTTCTCCCCTCCCTCCTGCACCATCTTGAGAAATCGAGACTCTAAGAGCAGAAGTGTTTTCGTCATCACCTAGAACACCCACCGGCAGATCTGCGCTGAAGCTAAAGAAGAATAAGCTTCAGGGAACCTCACGGGCACAGGCCCTTTCCAAGATCTAGCACCTAATTTTATGGTTCTCATTTTATATTCTTTTGATTAAAAAGGGCTCCCTAAATAGTACCACGTCATGTCCCACAAAACCTGGACCTCCTTCCCGTCCATCCTTCCTACTAGCATGCGGTCCCTGGTGCCCTGCCTGCCTGGAGCCTGTCCCTTTCTCTGCCTCGGACCCTCCCAGGCCCAGTCCCACCCTGGCTCTTACGTGGTGATCTGGGACTCAAGGAAGATGAGGATGAAGACCAGCAGGGCAGGCAGGGCGGAGGCAAACATCATCCAGATGGGAAATGGCTTATATAAGCCCAGCGGGTGGATGAGCCAGCCTCGGGCCGAGGTGTTGGATACGGTGAGCCCTTTAGGTACACTGAGTTTCTGTGGGAGGGGGTGCTGGTGAGAACACCTGGGGGCAGGGGGACGGGGAAGGGTGGGGACAGGGAGAACCAGGGTCCTGGGCACTTGGGAACTTACTTATATTGAGCATCTACTTTGTACTCAGTCACTGCACTAAGCCCTTTACATACGTTTTCTCATTCCCTACTTTATAGATGAGGAAACAGGATCAGGGAAGTTATGTAGCTGGCTCTGCATTGCACGGCTATTTGGTAGCAAAACTGAGATTCATACTCAGATCAACCTGGCTTCAAAGCGGATTCTTTCCTACTGCCCTGGATTAAGGAGTGAAAGGGGGCAAACTGACCCAGGCCCTTTCTTCAGCCAGAGGTGTCCTGAAGGGCTGTGGGAAGAACATGGGGCTGCTTGGAGAGACAGGACTGGGGAAGGGGTAGTTCTAGCTGGTTTCAGGTTTGGGGAGGCAGTTTGGGGGAGGGCGCATGCTGGGGGAATGAAATAAGGGTGGGGGAGAGGGTCACCTGGGTGTAGGTGTCCTGGATGAGGGCATCCACCATGACCATGATCAGGATAGAGATGGGAACCCCAAAGTCCCCAATGACTCGTCGCAGCTGAGGGCAGGTGAAGGGACCAATGGTCAGTGCCCAGTTGCTTCCCACCTCTCACCTGCCACTTGCCCCCACCCCTGCCCCGTCTTCACCAGGGGGTCCCACTCTCCCCAGGGGGAACATCTAATGCCCTGTCCTGCTTCTCAACATACCTGCCTCCTTTCTTATTCACCTGGCCCAGCCCCACCCCCAGCCCCACAGCTTCTCCACTCCCTTCCAAGAACTGTCCTTGGTTCCCCACTGGGTCCTCAGCCTGGACATGCCGAGAAAGGGAGATGCGCTTGTCTCAAGAGTAAAATCCTGCATGATGAGGGGGGAGGGAGGCTTGGAATCGGAAATGGGAATCTAAGGTAAGAAGGGGAACTAATGGCACTGGGAAAGCTGAGGGGAGTGCTGTAGACTGGGACAGGGCAGTGTAGGCAAGGACAGGTGGGGGGATGTGCTGACCTTGCCAGGGAAGTAGGAGCTGTTCTTGAACTTGCGCAGCATCATGGCGAACAAGAAGGTGCCAGCCATGAGCACAAGAGAGAGGAGGGCTGTGTTGGGCAGGGGCGCCTGAGGTTTGGGTATTCTTGTCACATTGTGGTCATAGTTCTCCAGCAGTGGGTGGTCCTGGAAGATCTGCAGCAGAAAACCAAGGCATCCTCTTTCCTCCCATCCAGCCATCCTCCAGCCATCATGATACATGCATCATGTATCATCTATCTATCCATTGTCCACCCATCCATCATCCATCTCTCTATTCAGCATCTCTCTCTCTCTATTCATCATCCATTCATCCATCCATCTGTCTATGCGTCATCCATCTACCTCTCTTCTTCCTCAACTGACATAGTAACAGAGAGGCAATGGGATTCCACAGCTTGGTTTTCAGGACTGAGGACCAGGCTAGGCTTGGGCGGGGCAGGCCATGGAGGAAATGAAAGTGTGTGTGTGTGTGCACGCGCACACGAGCATCCAGGGCCTGGGAGCCATGAGAAGGCTGGAGGGCAGGAAACAAGTGCCAAGGAGGTTCCTAAAAAGACTTAGGCTCCAGACACTTGGAAACCAGAGAAAGACCCATCGACCAACAGAATCAGGTAGATGTACAGTATCCACCCTTCCTCCATGTAAAATGCAGACACAGAGGTAGGCATAGTTTAAGGTGACAGAGCTGAGGAGGCGGGGCATGCCCTCTGCAGGCCCTGCAGTTCCTAAGGGCAACTGCAGGAGAAGGAGTGGGGGACTTCAGAGTCTCCAGGACCCCTGCTACCCCACCATGCCTGCAGTTTCCCACATTCAGTCTCACACGTGCCCACTGGTTACTGCATGTGGTTATACACATGGGCCTGTGCAGGCAGAGGGGAGCTCTCATGCACCGTCACTCCGCACAGCCATGGTGAGAATACCGGCCCACAGACAGCAGGCATCAACATGTATGTGGTCACAGTCACATACCGTGAAAACACGGCCACATAAATGCCGTACAGACGCATGTGCAATGACACCCACAGTCACACAGCTTGTGCACAGTCACACACACACACACATATGCACGCACGTGCACACACATGCACGCACACGTGCCTCTTAACACTCCCATGGCCCTCACCGTGACCAGCTTGGAGAAGGTCTCATAGATGAAGATGAGGGAGATGAGGAAGGAGAAGATCTCCTGGGTGTAGCGGGAGATGAAGCGGACCAGGAAGCTGCCCTCGAAGGCCACCACCAGCACCACCAGCAGGATGAGCCAGAAGCCAATCCACACACGGCCCACGATGTACTCCAGGCCGTTACTCTTGCAAAACTGTAGGGTGGTCAGAGGGAGCTGGGGTCAGATAAATGGGCCCAGGCCCCGTGCATGAAGCAGGTTGGGCCAGGGGCCAGTTACAGGGTGACAGTGGGGCCAGAACAGAGCTACCGAGAAGAAGGCTTCCTCAAACACGAGCAGGGGTCCTGAGAAGCCCACCACGAGCAGGGGCTGAGCCCCCAGCAGGGAGAAGAGGATGCCCTGCGCCGCGGTGGAGATAAGCAGTTCCGATACACCCATCAGGTTATGGGTCTTTTCTCCTGTGGATGGAAGTGACAGTGCGGTCAAGGTCAAGGTCATTTCCAGAGGCCGATAGAGTATCTCATGGACAAGATGATGTAGGGGTCCAGAGTGTCAGATCGGGGCAAAGTCAGGGCTGATACTGAGGCCAGAGGGTCAGAGGTGAGGGCTAGTGGGACACACAGAGGCACTGACCCAGGAGGCCACCGAAGGTGATGGCGGGTGACAGGGCAGCAAAGTAGATGAAGATGATGGCAGACAGGACCTGGGGGTTCAATGCGTCTGTGATGTCACTCAAGTAGCGGGGGTAGCGGCGCCGGATGTCACGTACCAGTCCCCCGAAGAGCCTGCCTGTCCGCTGCAGAGGGTCATCCTGGGTGTCCTCTAGACCCCCATTCAAATCTGTAGTGAAGGGCAGGACCACGGTCACGGGGGGTGGAAGGGGGAAGTGTGGGGAAAAGGGAATCGAGAAGGGGATTGTCTGATGGGAATGGGGTGGTCCAGGATACTGGGAGGCATGAGGACAGGGAGAGGGGACATGGGAGATTTAATGGGAAGAGGGGCGGTAGGGGCTCACAGGGCTGTGCTGGGCTGTCTGGAGGTCTGGGGGCTCAGCAAGCCTAGGGCTGGGCGGGGCAGGTACCTAGGCCCTTGAGGAAGCTGGGCTCTGGCTTGGCAGAGCTGGGCAGGTAGCGTCTTTTCAGCAGCTCTTTCTGCACGGGCACCAGACTGAGCAGGGCATCCTCAGGGGGTGCATCCGTGGGCGGCAACACCAGACTGCAGTCTAGGAAGCCCTCTAAGGAATGCACCAGCATCTCCTTGTTCTGGGCCAAGTATGCGTCAGTGCGGAACACCTGGGAGCAGGAAGGAAGGTCAGAGCCACAAGGACCTGCTCAGCAAAAGGATCCAAGAGGCCACAGCCAGGGCCTAGGGGCCCCTGTCCCCCAGCCCCTGCTTGCTGGGAACTGCTTTTCCTTCCCCCCTGGCCTTCCACCTTCTGCTCTGAAAGGGCTTTGGGGAGGCAGATAGGGCCCTGAGTCGGGAAAGCAGAAAGAACTAAAGCGAACCAGGTGGCTTATAGCAGACCAGGTGGAACGAGAGCAGATCAGGCTGGACCAGGCCAGACCTAACCAGACAGAACCAGGGCAGAGTGGGCCAGACTAGACCAGGCCTGATCAGGCAGGGCTAGGCCAGACTACACGGGCTTGGACTCCCCCTGGCCAGACAGGACGGAAGCAGCTAGATCAGACTGAATGGGCCAAACTAGTGAAGTTAAAGTAACCGGGGCCAGGGACAAGGCTTCAGCTGCCAGCCAGCCCCCTGGGCTCCCCCAGCCCTCGCCGGCCCCTCCTCACCCTCTCTGACATGAGGGTGGCAGCAGCCCGGCCCAGCTGGGTGTAGTCAATGTTGGGGGCCTCAGGTCCCAGCAACACAATGAGGAAGCGCACAGGGACTGCCGGCCCCTCTGGCTCCTGTGGCTTCTGCTCCGTCTCCATAGGCTCCTTTAGTCGCACAAACCCCAGCACTGGCCGCTCCAGGAACCTGGCACAGCCTGTTGGGGACAGACGAAGTGAGGTGGTCGGGCCAGGTCAAGGGGGGCGCGCTGCTGGGGTCCAGGCTTAGGGAGAGGCAGGCTGGGCCAGGGCAGGAGGCAGGAGCAGGGGACGTGAAGGGGTGAGGTATGGACGCTCTGCCCACTTACCCACCAGCACCAGGGTGGCCTCCCGGTCCTGGGGACTCTTTCCCAGCATTCCAGATGACGAGTGCCCTTCCGCGCTCCCCTCTCCCTGTCGGAAGGAGGGTGGTGAGGGGAGTCCTCTGGCCACTCTGGACCCTGGACACTGGAGTAGCCCAACCCGTCTGCCCTACCCACTCTCATTTCGAACCACGTTCAGGTTGGGAGCTTTCCGGCTCTCCTCACACACCCCTGGTACAGCCTCACCTGTTCACAGAAGACCTCTGTCTCCAGCGAGGGATGCTGTGGGAGCAGAGGCTGTGAAGGGTCCCCAGAACGTGTCAGGACTGCAGGCTTCACACTCCCCAAGGCCTCCACATCTCTGGCGTGGCTGCAGGACGACACACAGGGGACATGGGCTCAGTAGGCTGTGCAGCCTGGGCTGTCAGCAGAGTGGAGACCCGTGGTGGGAGGGACATGGGACTTGCCAGTGACCAGACTAGAGAGGCCCGGGGCGGAAGGAGGATCAGCCTCCTCTGAAGGACACTGTGGATGGAAGCGGGTGACCTCTGTCTGGAACGACTAGGTGGAGCCAGAAAAATGGATGGAGAGAGGGACCTTGAGAGTCCGCCCTCCTGGGGACCAGCGGCCCCCAACCCTGAGCGTGGAGACATGGTTACCGCTCGAGAGGTGCCGGAAGCAGGAGACATTATGGAAGAAAAGTGGGACCCAGCCTGGTCGGGAGGGGCCATCTGGACCCCCAGGGAGAGCTTGGGGCAGGCGGGCCGGGGAGATGGGCCCTGTGGGTGTGGAAACCAGGGCCTAGCAGGCAGGGGCACCTGTGTTTGAGCAGCAGGACCCGGAACAGATTTTCTCGGTCCTGAGGCTGGATCTGCCCCTCGAAGATAAACCTGTCCAGCAGCTGGCTGGCCACCCCGGCCAGGGATTTCTCTGGCAGGTCCAGGAGGACAGTACCTGCAGACAGAGGAGGGGTGAACGGGCTGGCTGGCCCTGGCCCTCCTCCTCCCTAGCAGCTTCACATGCAGGGGCCACAGGCAGAGGGGCACGGAGGGGCTCACTCACCCTTGGCAAAGGCTTTCTGCAGCTCCAAGAGGCTCCAGAAGGTGAGGTAAGACAGGTGTGGGCGGCCCCAGATCCCGCCCTTCCCCAGGTTCTCCTCTAGCTGCACCCAGCGCGCTGTCTCCATCCATTGTAGCTCCTGGTTCTTTTCATCCATCACCAGTTCCCGCAGCTCCACGACGACCTGCAGCCCCACAGGCCTGAATTAGTCCCTCGGGCCCCGGGCAGGGCTATGGGGAGGCTGGAAGCCCAGGGCACGGTGGGCACTCAGCAGGCTCTGAGAGATGTCCATCAGAGGCCCAGGGGTCCTGGAGCACTGAGGGCAGAGCCTGAGCTCAGAAGGCACCGTCAGGAGCTACGTCCTCAGGGTGTAGAGTGAGGTGTGACATGTGAGGAGATGACTGGGGGTCCCCCACCTCTGGCTCTGTTCCCCAACCTCCTGACCAGGCCCCTCACCCCATTTCAGAGGCATTTGAAGAAACTCTGGGCCAAAAGGGCTGCTAGAGTGAGCAGGAGAGGAAAGAAGAGGGAAGCCTTTGGGGTCACTGGGTCAGCCTCCTGCCTCCAAGATTGTCGTGTGGGCTCAGCATGCCCTTGGGGTTCCTTGGGGCCAGATGGCCAGTCCCAGGGGCCTAGCTGAGGGCAGACCCGATTTTCTAATCAGCTAGACCGTCTGGAGTCCAGCAAGGACGTGGGGGGCCTTGGGGGACTGGGCTGAGGAGAGCATGTATTTAATTCTGTGCTTCCCCGGGGAGTAACTGACAGCCCAGCTCGGGCCAGCGGACCTGGTGGCTCAGACCTCCAGCTGTCCATTTATCTTTGTCCAGGGAGCTCCCCCATCAGTGGAAGGGGGCCCCAGGTCTCCCCCTCACTGGTAGATGTCCTTTACCTATTTCCCAGGAGGCCCATGCCTTCTCTCCCCCATCCTGAAACTGTAGCTATCCCTCTGCTCCTCTCCTCCCCTGGTAGAATGATGGATCCCAAGGGCTGCACAGGAAAGAGAATCGGGGGAGGCTGGGGTGCTCACCTCGAGGACGTCTGGGGGGCGGCGCGACGCGGTGTGGTAGTCTGTGGCTGTCGGCTCAGTGAGCTGAGCTGAAAATCAAGAAGCCGGTTAGCGCTGGCCGCAGACAATTCCCGCAAGACTTTTCTGCACCACCAGCATGAGCCTTGGACACCACAGGGATGATGCCGCTCTCCCTCCCCTTGCCCCTGGCTGGGACCCTGCCCCTGCTGCTCAGTGGGCTGTGGCCCCCCACGCGTGTTCTTGGCCGCCCAGCCTGGCACTGTCACTCCCCATCTGAGCGCTGTGGAGGACCCCTGGGGCTCATCCTCAGTGGTGACGAGGAGGGTCATCTCCAAGGGGATTGGGGAGTCCTGAGTGCAATTCTCTTCCCTCTCCTGCTACCTTCTGGGGCCAGATTCCCTTCTTTCTTCCCACCTGCCTCAACGATCCCACCAGCCAGTAGCTTCTCGCTGCCTCCAAGTGGAGCTTGGGTGCCCCGTGTGGTCTGCCCTTATATTATTGGCCCCTGCACCCCCAGCCCTCATTTCCCAGAGGGGCCTCTTATCTCCAATACCAATTGCTAGCACTTAAGTCCTGTTGACAGTAAACAGGTCCCTTCCCGGGGCTCCCCAACCGAGACCTTGGCCAGGCCCAGGAAGGTTTCCTGATGTTTCTCCGCCCTGAGGGTCTCTACGGCCCCCCCATTTCTCAGGACTCCTGGACCCCCAAACAGAACAATGTTCCCAGAACAGGCCCAGTGCCTGGCCTGGAAGCCGGCATTGGATAGGCACGGGTGGCATGCGGGCTCATGCCCTCGTCCCCGACAGGCCTGGCTGCCCTCTTACAAATCTAAGGGGCACAGTGATGGATGACTGGTCCTGCCTCCAGCACCCACCCCCAGTCACCTCCTGTGATCATTTCAAACAAAACTCTGTTTATCCTTCAATCAGCCAGGATTGTGGGAGAACTGGCCCTGGGGCTGGGCCGGTGGGGAGCGGGGAGAAGGGGAGGACAAGTTCCCCACCTGTGTCTAATGGGGCTCAGCAGCTCATCCCAGCAGGAGAGAGGGAGATGGGGCTCACCTTCTGCTTCCTCCACCTGGAGCGTGGGGAATCCAAGGTCTTCATATTCCTTCTGCTCTAGAAACTCCTCCAGCTTATCTTCATTCTCCTGTGAGAAGTTGCCATCAGGGCTGGGCTGTGGAGGAGGCTCCACAAACCTCCGTGAAGGTAGGAGTCCAGGGTTAGGAGCCCTGCAGATGCCACCCAAGACTCACCTGTGAATCCCCCATGGCGCTGTCCTGATTGTTCAATTGTCTGCAGTGATCTGAGCCCCCAGCATAACCCACACTGCAGGTCCCTGCAGGGGAAAGGCACAGGCTGAGTGAGGCACAGGGCAGCCTGGGGTCTCCCATTCGTCCCCACAGGGGGCTGTATTTGAGTGAAGGGGGATCCCAGGTGTCGGGAGACAATGGGGTCAGAGGAAAGAAGTGTGAGTAGGGGGTTGGATTTGTAGGTCTGAGGGCAGGTGTGCAGGGGTCGGAGAGACAGGACAGAGCAGGGAAGAGGAAACTTAGCGGGCACCAACATAAGGATGTTTGGGAGGATGGGGGGGGTGTTCTTCCAATCCAACTCCTTCCACCATCCACCAGTCCTCACCTGGCTTCCTTTTCTGCCCATCCCCAGGAATCACCAACTCCAAGAACATGTAGTGTCCCTCCTTCAGGGAGCTTAGCTGAGAGTCTCCACGGAATACCCTCTTCTCACAGAAATGGCTGCCTCTTCCTGGGCATGGGGCTGCAGTATCCTTAGGAGTGGCTCACAGGTCCTGGATGATATGGCCTTGCTTCTCTCCCCTACTCCATCTTGAACCCCCTCTCTCTTGCTCTCTCACCACCTATTCCATTGGCCTCCTTACCAAGCCCTTTCCTGCCCCAGGGCCTTTGCACATGTAGTTGGCCACATCCTGGATGCCCCTACTCCCACACTTCAGCCCTTCCCACATCTCAGCTCATATGGCTACCTCTTCAGATTCCCTTCTTGACCACCCTAACAGTCACTAACCCAATCTGTCATTTTCTGGTTTCTTAATTCATTTGTGGATATATGGTCTGAGGACGCCTCTAGAAAGGAAGCCACATGAGTGCTAAGATCCTGCGCGTCTCAATCCTCACTGGATCTCCCACTCCTAGCAGAGTGGTTGCCACATAGTAGGCACTCAATAAATATGTGTTGAAAGAATGTAAGAATGGCTCCCCCTTGCAGGCTTGGGGCTCTGGGGCTGGGGAGCCAGGATGACTAAGACCCAGCCAGGAGGCAGTGGAGCCCTGCGCCTCCATTTTCTCAGTTGTGTCTCTAGTGCAGAGGAAGGATGCCCACTGCAGGAATGTGAGGACCAGCCCAAGGAGAGCACAGGGGTGCCCTGGCGCGGCCCCAGGCTGGGTGTGGAGGGACATCCTCCGCCTTACCCACAGCAGCAGAGCGCATTGTAGCCGCAGGGATTTGGGTCAGGTTGACAAACGTGCCCACTCTGTGCCTGGCATGGAGCCTGGGAAGCTGAGGTGAACAAGACACTGCTGTACTCTCCAGAAGCTCGCAACCCTGACTGGGGAGGCAAGCTGGGGACGCGTGACAGGCTAAGGCGTTCAGGAGAAAACACGTGCCCCAGACAAACACAAGCAGTGAGCAGACCATGCTGGGTGCTGAGGGTGCCTGTGGCAGGGGGAAGTAGGGCTCGCGGTGGGGCTGCAGGCGGAGTGTCTCTGGTGGAGGGGACACTGGTGCTGGGTCCAGAAGCACCGGTGGGATGTGCAGGGCTGAGAGGTGGGGAGGGCTAGCCCGGGTGCCAGGAATGGTGGGCAAGATGCAGAGAGAGGACCATGCGAGACAGGGCTGGGCGCTGTGGGAGGGAACAGGGCAGGGAGTATATACGGAAAGAGCCATTCTGAGGAATGGTTGGCCCTGAGGTCCTTAGAGATAGAGAGAGGGGCGTGCGTGAGCCCCTGACCTACACTGAGAAACGCAGGGGTCCCTGCCTTGGGGGGTTGTAGGGCAAGTGATGGCCTTGGGGGGGCGGTTTCCAAAGCCTGAGGATGGGGTGTTCCTACTGCAGGGGACTTGCCCTTTGAGGAGTCTGGTCATGTACCTTTTTTCTCTCCCTTTCCTGTCCGTCCGTGTCCTCTTCTCCCCAGGTTCCCCTGCCTTCCTCTTCTCCCATTTTTATTCTTTCTCCCTTCTCTGGCCTTGTTGCCTGAGGTGCTAAACATACGCTACGCCCCCCCCCCACAACAATGCCCTATGGGCTGGAACTGTGGTCTCAGTTTCCCATTTGAGAGGGGAGAGGGTCAGAGGGTCCCTTCGGAGCCCGAGAGCCCAGACATCCAGGCTGCCTCTCTGCCACTGACTGGCAGCTCCCCGCCTCTCTCTAGGGCTCAGTCACCCTGTCTGTACAATGGGACGCCTTCCTGCTGGGGTTCTGAGACTTCAGTGAGAGAGGAGAGGGGAGAACAGAGGTGTCTCGAGCTCTGCTGGGGCCTCAGAGGGTGCACCCATGACCCAGATTGTAGCCGCCACCAGGCCCAGCCGCCCCCCAGCTGCAGGCCTTGCTCTGCTGACACTGATAAGAGCCTGGACCCTGATGGCACCAAACACCTGGAAGCGCACCAAACAGCTGGCCAGCCCGCCAGCCAGGGCCAGGCAGATAAGGGGGAGCAGGGCATCTGGAGCCCCGGAAGTAGAGCACAGCTGGAAGAGTCTGGTGGGGGTGGCGTGGACCACAAGGCGGGGACGGCTCCCTGGTGGCATAGCACCAACTTTGTGTAATCGTCCCGACACCATACATGGCTGTGCCATTTTATCTCTCCCCAAACCACTCTGTGAGGCGGGTAAGGTCATTAGCCTCGCTTTACAGATGAGAAAGCTGAGGTTCAGAGAGGTTTACTGCTTCGGTGCCCTAGCAGGTAGGTAGCAGAGGCAGGATTAAACCCTGCCCTATCTGACTCCAGCTACACCTCTAACCACTGCCCTGAGTTGTCTCCCAGAAGAGAAAATAGCTATTAGCTAGTTTAGTATCAGTGACTAAGAGCATGGACCCTGCAATCCAGCTGCCTGGCTTCAAATCCCAGCCCTGCCACTTACTGTGTGACCTTAGGCAAGTGACTCAACCTCTCTGTGCCTCAGTTTTCTCATCTGTAACATGGGGCTAATCATAATGCCATCTACCTCATAGGCCTGTTGTAGCGTTAAGTAAGTTCACGTATATAAAGCACTTAGACTAATGCCTGGCACAAAACAGCTCTATGTAAACGTTTGCTATCGTTCTCACTGCTACTAGGGATCAAGTACAGACTGGCTATCTTCATCCCCCTCTGATTTTCTTTCAATTCCCATGGAATTAACCTAAGTGTTTTGAGATCCTCAGGTGGTGGGGGACTCCTCCTTTTCTTCCAAACACCCCCTGGGATGGGGACAGTGCCAGGTCTCCCTGGTTAGATTCCCTGGAAGTGTTTCAAAATGAGAAGCAGTGTCAGCTGACAATTCTCCTCTTAGGAGGGAGACGGGGTGGCCTGGGGGTGCCCATACGCGGGGGAAAGAGGAGGCTGCGGGGTGAGACCCAAGCCTGTTCGATTCAGGGGCTGGTAAATAGGAACCTGACAAGGACCCACACCTGGAGGGGAGTCAGATTTGCCCCTCCACACGCACTCACCCAGCCAGCTCACCCACGGCTGCTGCCACGTGCCAGCCTTTTCTTCCTAATACCTGCCGCCCCACTCTTCCCAGCCGCAGGGGCCAATGGGCCTGTGCCCTTAGGGGCAACAACACACATTGTAACGTTCTCATTCCACCCACCAGCACCCCTCTCGCAGGTCCAGCATCCATGCCCACGGGCACAGATTCAGGTTGGGCACCTGCAGAAACCCTCAGGACAGGCACCTCAGGATCACCCCAGCCCCTCCCCGCCCTGCTCACCTGCTCACGAGCCTCCAGGTCCCTCGGCGAACTCCTGCAGCCGCCGGCGGCCTCTACGACCAGCTGAGCTCACACCCGCTCTAACCGCACTTGGTCCTCGCTCCCGTGCCCCTGGGGCAGCTCCCAAACCCCTGACTCATGCCCCCGCCTCCTAATCTGACCGCCCCATGGGCCCTGGGAGCCCTGTCCACCCCCTGCCCCGCTCCCGCTGGATGCCCAGTAAACAGAGTTATCTCTCACCCACATCTGGACAGCTGTGAGTCTGGCCCACCCCACCCAACCCCGGATGGCCAGCCTCCAAGGCCTCCCAAGGCCCTCCTGTCCCCTACGATTCTCCTGGGTCTTCCTTCGTGGACTAACATTCGACGGCTGGGTTCCTGGAGCTCCCAGCCTCCCAGCGGGTCTGTCCCAACATCTGGATGCCCCTGTCCTGCCTCTGTCCCTCCTCATTCTGGCCAGGCCCCTCTGCTCAGGTCCCAAGATGCACGGGCGCTTGCTTTCTCCTCCCTCCTGTCCTGGTGCTGTCCCTCGGGACTCGCTCACTCTTCCTCTGTAGCCTTGCCCTCAGGGACTGGTGTTCATGGAGGGGGGGCACCCAGGCAGCCACTGCCCTTTCTTGCCCCAGACTAGGGCACCCCCTCCATCCTCTCCTCAAGACCCCAGCCAGCTCCAAAGAGCTGGCGCCTGGGCGCTAAGACGCAGCCCTTCAGTCAACCTGAAACAATCTCAGGTCAACAAAAACAACGTCCCCACACGGAGCTCTGAGCTCACAAAGCCCCATTGCCTGGGCACACTGGCTCTTCTGTCGGCAGCCGACCCAGGCCCCGGGGCCTGAGCAGCTGGCATTCTCAGCTCCCACCGCCACTCCCCAGCAGGGCAGTCTCTGCTCTTGGCGGGTACTGGGGCTGGTCACCGGTTCCTGGGCTCGGGTTGCTAAAGAGGCAGAGACTGAAAGAGGAGGTCAGGTGGGCACGAGTGAACAGAGGTTTGAAAGCGGACAGAAAGGGGGTTTTGTGGACACTGCGTGGAGGAAGGAAACCGTCCTAGCCCGGCTCCGACCCTGCTTGGCTGCGGGACGCACAGCAAGTGCTTGCCCTTCTTCGCGCTTCCGTGACCTCATCTGTAAAGGGAGAGTGTCGGTCCTGCGGCTGCCAGCTTGGGGATTTCCTGCTTCAGACTCAAACAATAGAAACGCAGAGACAAGGACTGAGAGGTGGCATATCCAGTAATTCCACAACCATTTCCTGGGGCTCACCCCAAGCCCACACGTGCCGAGCCCCGACAGAGAGAGAAAGGGCATCCATCCATTCAGACCCGGAGCTGGAATCCTCCAGTTTGCAGAGGGTCTGTTCAAGGCTCTGCACTGGGGGCTTCGCCTGGTGGTCACACTTAATCCTTATAGCCTCCCCATTTTACAGAGGAGGAAACTAACACGACAGAGAGGTAAAGTGGCTTCCCAGTAAAAAGAATAACCAATGAATGGGCACCGGCTCTGTGCTGGTGCCGTGCCCAGCGCTTCACATGCATCATCTCTCTGAGCTCTGCAAGCCCCTCTGAGGAAGGTGCTGTTTACTATTCTTTCCCTCTTACAGGTGAGAAAGCTGAGGGTGGAGAGGTAGGTGACTCCCCTCAGCTGGTGCCCTGTCTGAGGCCAAGCCCTGGGCTCCCTCCTGCCACCCTTGGCCTTCATGCCAGTCAGGAGCAGAGTGGCCGTGGCGAGGGGGGATGGGGATGCCTCCTCTGCTCCGCCTTGGTGTTCAGTCTCCCAGCTGGTGGCCTCTGTTCCAGGCCCTGGTCCAGACTGGACTGTTTTCTGCAGGTCGCGGCAGCGAGTACCAGATGCAGGCCCTGCCTTCCCACCACAGCCCGGAGGTCCCAGGCACCTTGCCCTCTGCCTGTCCCAGTTGCCGAGGGGCAGCTGAGTGCAGGAGACTGCAACACAGCACCTCTCCCAGGGCCCAGAAGGGACTGGCAGCCAGCTAGGTGAGAGGTGGGGAGAAGGCGGGATGACAAATGGGAACGTCTGGCTTAGAAGGAGAATGCACCCAGCTGTTCGGCTGTCCTGCGGGGACCAGCCCACCAGTCACCCAAGCAGCAGCAGAGTGGACTGGCCTCTGGTCCTTCTACTCACACCACGTGCTCTTGGTCACTCTTGTCACCTTGACTGGGCGTGGCTGTTTCCCCAAATCCACCTGACGTCGCACTTGGCTTGTTAATGATTCTCCAAGAAGAAGTGATGGCTCCTTTCACTCATTTGATTCCAATTTGGACTTGGGTCAGTTCAATTTATTTGAAGGCTCCAGTGCCTCGCACTGCGCTGGGCTCTGGGGAAATCAGACGAGAGAGGCCTGCCTCCCCCTAGCCATGCCCCTGGGCTGGATGGAGATGGTCAGAAAGCCTGGGCTTTGGGGGAACTGA